AATCCCTCACATCTCATCTTGAGTCAAATAAACTACTGTCAGACAATCAATACGGTTTTCGATCCTCTCGCTCTACGGCCGACTTGCTAACTGCTGTAACTGAAAGATTTTATCGTGCATTAGATGGAGGCGGTGAGGCTAGGGCTATTGCTCTCGACATATCTAAAGCTTTCGACAAAGTTTGGCATGCTGGTCTTCTCCAGAAGCTTGCTTCATATGGTGTTTCTGGGAAAGTTTTTGAGATTATCAAATCATTTCTTTCTAACCGGTTTATTAAAGTCATCCTTGAAGGCCAACACTCTTCTTTATTTCCAGTAACTTCTGGGGTTCCCCAAGGTTCCATCCTGGACCCTGTTTTGTTTCTTATCTACATAAACAATCTTCTTGACAACCTTTTATCTAAAGTAGCTCTTTTTGCTGATGACTCAACTTTATACTCCTGTCTTGACAAAAAGTCTTCTCTTTTTGATCGCCTAGAACAAGCAGCTGATCTTGAATCTGATCTCACTTCAGTAATAGATTGGGGTTCACAGTGGCTTGTGAATTTCAACTCTAAAAAAACCCAGTTGCTTACTGCAAACAACTACCGTAATATGGTCAACATTCCTATATTAATGAATGGCAATCCTCTTACTGAGTCGTCCTCTTTACCTCTTCTTGGATTATCGCTTACTACTGACCTTTCATGGAAACCATGAAAGGTCAGTAGTACTTCTTTACAAGAAGTACTTCAGCGGTAGTACTTCTTTACAGTAGTACTTCAGCGGTACTTCTTTACAATTAAGAGAAGGAACTGTTTCTGCTCCTCATCATTTGTGTGCAACTTGTTGTATTCGTCCATTAAGGCAACTCCACGTTCTGCAATGTCATTCACAACTCTCATACTGCTGACAATGTTCTTCGCCAACTGATAGTCAGCATCTGCAGACCAGAGCTTCACATCTTTGTTGAGGAAAGTTGATGGTAGACCAGTGATGGTGAAGAATCTATGACTGCTCTCGGTGACAAAGTCTTGCAAGTTCTTGGAGCTCACCAGCGAAGGATCAACAGTTATCCTCTTCAAAGGGTGTTCTGCACCCGGTGCTTGCAAGGCACTGACCATCAGACGTTTTGTGTCATCGGAGACTTCATCATCAAAGAAAGCCAGTGCAATCAGTTCTTCTGACAAGTACCAAAAATGTCCTAAAAGTTTTTTCATTGCGATCTCAGAGACTGCTCGATTCTGTGCCTTGTATTTGTCGATCTCCTTGATGAGCTCGAGATCAACACGAGGCGATGATGGTGTCAACGGTGCTCTAAACCAGGCCTTTACATACAGAGTCACTGTGAAAAGACACACGTCTGCTATTCCATTCTCTTCTTTCTTTGTCATCTTGAATTGGCTTCTCAGCATCCATATTTTCAATGAATAAATAGCTTTGGCCATCCATCTGGCTCCATGAAGTCCTGCCGGTGCTTTGAATGAGCATCCTTGAGATGGAATGCCTCCCAGAAACATAATTGTCAGCTCTAGCAGTTCATGATAATCGTCACGAGGCTGAAACTGTTGCAGTTGGTTATCAGCAAATGAAATAATTTCAATTGCAACACCGGAAACGGCACTGGAAACGGTGTCATTCGAACTTGATGTCTGAAATTTTGACTGGTTAATAAATTCCCAACTGCTTTTGAATCTTTTAAAAATCATGATGTCTGGACCCTTTGAAGAGCCAAGAGTAAGAGTAACCGTTGCCTCTAAGACTATTTCTAAAATGTGATGGCGACAAGCAAACCAGAGCAAATTTTTGTCAAGCTTCTGCTCTAGTAGGATGCAAGCACCATTTCTTGGACCACTATTAACGGCAGTAGTATCGAAGCACACGCACTTGACTTTATCAGTTATGCCCCGCGCTACAGTTGCATCATAAACAGCTGTTGCTGAAGCTTCTCCAGTTCCAGATGGCAGTTTCGATACACAAAGAAGTTGGTCAACTCCTAGTCCAGACACGAGGATTGGGAGCCGGTCCACAATTTCTGTGCTACTGATATCTTCCAGTAATTTCCCATCCCAGTGTATTGTTAGTGGAACTGTTGGCTTGAATTCTGCTTTCAAGTTCTCTGCTATTCTTTGTCTACATTTCATCCTTTCTCTTCGAATGGACGATCGATTGATATTAAAATCTGCTGGGTCATAACCAAGGTGCTGCAGTGCTGGAGTCAGGACTAGTGCAGCATTTCTATCACTGACCTTTGCCATATCCAGACATACTGCTAACTTGTCATTCAGTATTTTTTGTGTACCACGTATACATTTAGCTCTCTTTGAAGTTGTGCTTAATGATGGCTCGCCAAATGCTTCATCGTCATTACCAGATTCTTGTTCGCTTTCAAATGTCTGAAGAATAGCTTTCTCCTCTCTGGCCACTCTGTCCTGTTCTTCTCTCTCCTTTCTCCTCTTGAAGTTTTCTTCTTTGTTGTGAACATCTCTTTCTCTTTTGGCCAAGGCTTTGTCAACACTTCCCATCTTACCACGTTGTCCCGCCTCGCGCTGAGCTAACAGGAACTCCCTGTCCTGCTGAATGCTAATCCTCTTCATGGCATCCGCATGAGCAATGTCAAAAAGACTCTCTAAGCCATCCTTCCATTCTTCTTCCTTCTTCAGTAGACTTTCAGAGTGCTTCGCTTTATTTTTCTTATTTTTCTTCAGTTTGTCATATTCATGGAACATACATTCAACTTTTTCAACATCATGTTTCTTCAATCATGTCGGGATTCGAGCTTTAGCCGATACTTCAATAATGTCATTATTTGTTGAATGTGATGCTTCACAAACAGTTTGTTTGGTGGCCTCTTTATAATAGAAGAATAGTGCCATGACTTCCTTCTTTGACGGTAACTTTGTAAAGCTGAGAATTTCAGACATTTGGCCTATCAGCCACAACTCAGTTTCTTGTCTTGTAGTTGGTTTCAAAGTCCCACGGCAAGCATTGGCCATCTCCTTCAAAATAATAAATTGTACTTGTTACCATCCAATTTAATTATACAAATTAATTATAATTTCTACCAAAACTAACAGAACTCAGTAATCCAACTGACAATGTTTATGTTATGCAATAATGCAAACAATGCAAAACCCATTCAAGCAAAAATAAACAAAGAAAACACTTACTTTTGTTCTATATATATATATATATATATATATACTAGCAGAGGTGCCCGCATAGCTGGGCACCGGCAAAATAAATCAAAGTTGCTGGTGTACAAAGAAAACTCACCCTCTAAAAATCAATTACTTGACTAAAAAACTCTCAATCCTGGGTACTATAAAATAAACAGCTGTAAAGCCTCTTGGTACACAACACTAAAAGTTCTTCCATACGGGGATTTTATATACACCATACACACATAATTTTATATATATTTATACACAATACTCATTTGAAAAGAACAATTCCCCTGTACCAAGTTGACCACCACAAAATAAAAGAACCGAAAATGAATTAGTTACCACCAAAAAACAATATTTCCCCACCCGTTCCCCGCAGCATCATGCAAAGAGCAAACTGACCCCCCGAACTGTCTCCCAGAATTGCAACCCCACAATCGATGTGTTCACCTCAGCAACCTGGTAAAAACTGAGCTATGTGCGATCTCCGGTGATCCACCTACATCCCCATGGAAGGCTCCAGATGGGGCCAAAGAGCGCCACAAAGCACTCTGGAAAACCCCTGAATGCTCTGGAAGGTGATGGAACAGCCACATTGTGCAGTATAGAACATTCTGGAAAATTCTGGCCCACTCCGGAAAAATGTGGAACATTCCAGAAAACTCTGGAAAACGACAAAACAGGCATCAGCAATTCATGGAACATAACAGAAACCAACAAAAATCACATCATAGGAAATGCTCAACCCATCCCCCAGGCCATTCCGACTTCCAGCGACCCCCAAGGTCACACTCGAGGTCATCGGCACCCCCACCCCTGGAGGCAAGGAAGAACTCTGCACTTCACAAGAAACACTCTATCTGGCCCCCCGAACTAGAAATGACCATTTGAAAGCCCCTGCAACCCCGGGTGACCTCCAGTGACCTCCGAGGTCAATTTGACAGCCTATTTCACCCCCTGGGTCATGGGGATCATCCATGCCAAATTTCAAGTTTTTAGGACCAACAATCTGGCTGTTAACTGGGAACAAACAATCAAGCAAATAATCAGAATTGACAAATATATACAAGATATTCACATTTGTACTTTTCTATTTTTTATTTAATATGTTTTAAAAAGATAAACATTTTTCATGAAAAATATATAATTATATAAATTAAAAAAAACAGTTTATTAATACTTATTTTAAAAATTAATTAGAAGTGTTTTGTTACTTCATTGAAAAGCGTTACAATATAAAAGCATTTAAGACCAAACTTATTTGTTTGTAATGGCTTTCTAAAATTTTTTTCTTTTTCAACAAAATTTAGTTTATCTTTTTAAATGTATTAACTTTAATTATTTTCTTATATTAAAATTCGTTAAAAACACTTTCGTAGTTGTAGAATGTCATCGTTTATAAAAATAAAACAATTTTATATTTTTAATATTGTTTATTATAGAAATGCACACTTAAACAATTTATATATTATAAATTAAAAAGTATATACAACTGTCAACTATATTAAAAATAAACAACCATTATCAATAAATTGTTACTTTATTTAAAAACTTTTTGCTAATATGAAAACATTTTTTAGAAGTTTTGACGTAATTAATTTCACTTTTTTAGATTATTTTTTATTTAAAACGTTTTTTGTTTTAGCCGCAGTCAAATCGTCATAGCAAAATGTAATTTGCGTGGTCATATAAAGACGTTTTTTTGCACGCCTTCCTGTGAAATCCTATATATATATATATATATATATATATATATATATATATATATATATATATATATATATATATATATATATATATATATATATATATATATATATATATATATATATATATATATATATATTAAATTTAGCTTTTCATTAACAATCAATGGGTTGACTCAATGAGTGGGAAAACATTTCCAACTATTAATCCAGCAACAGAAGAAAAAATTTGTGATGTTTCAGAAGGTGACAAGGTAATTTTTTTTCATTTAATGTATTTTTTTTACATAAGAAACTAATTTAACAAATTTAATAACATATTGTATAGTTATAAGTATGTGATTAGCTTTATTGTTTGCATTTTTCAGTTACCAATAAAAACAAAAACTTTCAGTGTAAACAGGTTTTAAAAATTGCCTAGTAAATATCATTTTGTCGAAAATGAGCTTTTGGTTTATTTTTCATCAAATTATAAAAATTTCATAAGAGTTGTTCTTTTCTAAAAGATTAAAAAGTCATTTTTTTAATCTTTTAGAAAAGAACAACTCTCTTGAGAACAAATAGCTATTTATTATTGCAAGAAATTAATGTAAAAAGGTGTTGTCTGATGCTAAGTACCATTACTCTCAGCTCACTAAATCTCGTATCTTATCTCAGAAGTTGTGCTCCAAAGAATTTTGGAAAATCTTTAACAGGGTTGTTAACAAGGGTAGGTCTAACATTCATCTCTCATTCATCGTAATGATCTTATTACCTCTCCCAAGGATAAGGCAGAACTATTTGCATAGAATTTTTCTTCAAATTCAACTCTTTAATCTTTTGGTCATTCTTTTCCTTCCATTCCAATTAAACAGGTCAACCCATTGTTAGACATTCAAATCACTCCAGCTTCCATTGCTTAAGTCATATCTCGATTAAACTCTTCTACAGCTTGTGGTTCAGACAATATTCCTATTATAGTCATACAAAATTGTTCTCTTTTCAATTCTCTCTAAACTATTTAATAAGTGCTTGACTGAGTCTTGTTTTCCTACCTGGTGGAAAACTCAAGTGAGCATTCTGACCTTTCTAATTATTGTCTGATCAGTCTTCTTTCTATTATTAGCAAGGCCTTTGAATCTTTGATCAACAAATTTTTAACATCCCATCTTGAGTCACTTATTATAACTGACTGTCAGACAATCAAAACAGTTTTTGATCTTTTTGCTCTACGGCTGACTTGTAAACTGCTGTGACTGAAAGATTTTATCAAGCGTTAGATGGAAGCAGAGAGGCTAGGGCTATTGCTCTTGACATATGTAAGGCTTTCCACTAATTTTGGCATGCTGATCTTCTTCATAAGCTTGTTTCATATGGTGTAAACTAATTAGCATTTCATCAAGTTATAAAAAACTTTGCGGAGCAACTGTGTTTCCAGGATTCAGCTCACCCAAGGTTAGAAAATGACTGAAATTTTCAGTCCTTAATTGCTGCTCTCATTAAGTTAATTTCAGCTGAAAAGCTAAGATAAAATTGTACATTTTTCCAATTAATAATTTCTTGGAGTTCTTTGTTAGGCATTGTAATATTGATTTAGGTCTTCAAGAAATGCAAACTTTTCAATGAACTTTTTTTATTTTAGCTTTGTTGGATCTTTGTTTATACATTTGAAAAAACTATTATCTTTTGTATGAAGTCAAACATTCTTGTCAACATATTATCTATAGAAAGTCATCTCACTTCAGTATAATAAAGCAAACCACCATATTCAGAGTCATTTTCATTAAGAATTGACTCAAATTGCCTACTTTGTAAACATTTTTCACCTCTATAACCTTTGCTGTTAAGTTTTGCTAATGAATAATGCGATGTAGCTTAATGACAGTTGGTTTTCTGCCATTTTGTTTTCCAGTCTGAAACTACATCAAAATTTTTTCCAATTATTGAGCTGCAACCATCTATTGTAGTTGAAATTAATGTGTTGTAAGTCAAGTTAAACTTTTTTTTTAAACTTTCTTAATGGCCATTTAAAGGTTTTCTTCTGTTGTTCTGTCTTGCTTAAGATAAATGTCAAGGACCTTTTCAGTAACAAAAAAATATTTGTTAATACCTTGGATAAAAATTGCCAGTTCAGCAGTTTATAATATATCGGTTAATTCATCTATAAATATTAAATAATACTGAAATAATTTTATTTAGCCAATGGCAAACTTAGATCATTAACAACATTACCTGTTCTTTGCATAATTGTTTTCCTTGAGAATAAAATATTATTTACAACTTTAAATTTTTCAGGGCAAATGTTATTGAACATAATTTTAAGAGATTCCTTAATAATTTTACCCATCACTAAATGGTTTACAATTCTTAGCTAAAAACAGACTCACTTCATAGATTGCATAAATTTTTTTTACATTGGTACCAAATTAAATTTACCAAAAAATATTTTGTTTGCCATTCACTGTTAAATATAGAACATTTTTTGTCAACTTTTGTTGTTTTGAATAAAGATGCTGTTTTAGCAAAACTCACATATTTTAAATAATAATTAAAAACAATTTTAAAAATCCAAAGATCAAAACTAAGATTGTAAATATTTTATAAAAAGTTTGTAAACTTTATAACTTACATTTCTTTGTAAATTAGTCTCTTTTGGTTATATTATTAACAAATATTTATGTAACTGAATGGTTGCTAAAAGCCGGATGTTTTAGGTTTTGTTTTCCTTATTAGTCATTTCGTGTAAGCTTCGTTTTTTTACGAACTTACTAAAAGGGGTGCTTGAAAAAATCTTCTGCCTTAAGCAGGCTTGTGGAGCCGAAAGTTATTTTATGGCTTGGTTTCAGCTCTGGCTCCTAAAAAATGTCCAGGCTCGGCTCAGGCTCCGTACTTTATGCATAAAAATGGCAAAATTTGGAATGTTTTTTTTTGATCACATTTGCTAACCCAAATCCTAACTAATTACAGCAATTAATTTTTAACTAATTTTCATGATTACAAGCTTAATATATTACTATCACTACTCTTACGTTTAAAAAGAAAAATGTTTTAGATAAATATACAATTTTTTCACATATTTATTTCAATGCTAGAGTTTTTAGTTCTAATTTTAGTTCTAATTCTACCCACTTACAAATTTTATAAGGCCATAATTTTCGAATGCCAGATTTTCTCATGAGTTTTCTCATAAATTTTTATTTTAATAAAGTTAATTATTATTAATAAGCCACTGTTTTTTGAAGGAGCCAGAGCTGGACCTGGAGCCGCAAAAATAGAGCGGCTCTCAGCTCTAGTGTTTTTTTAAAGGAAATGAATGTATATATTTTTTTTATTGTAGACAAATTTTATTTATTCATTTTTTAACTAATTTGTTGAATGAATTATTTATTGAATTTCTATTTTTTTTTTTAACAGTTAAAGTTTTAACGTCAAAAACGTAATAAAAACTAATATTTTAACAATTTTGTACTCAATAAAATACTATCCTTAAATAGCACTTCTTAATATGCTTTATTAAGAAAAAAAAGCAAGTAAATCATATATGGGAACATTCTTACAGTATTACATATATTGTTTTATATTAAATTTTTATATTGATATTATACTGTTAAGTATTTGATGGGCAATTTAATGATCAAAAGTTATTCATATCTTAAAAATTATACTACCCAGTGGGTACATGTGTTTTTATATGATGAATGACATCTTTTAAACATTTTTTGAAAGTTTTGGACTAAAATAAAAAAAAAAAAATAAAAGACATTAATGTGGTTCTTGCAAAAATATGCAGTAGACTTTTTTTGCGCTAATAAATTTTTCTACCCTTCCTAACCTTTTTTTAGTAACACATCATCAGCCATGTTTCATGCAGTTTTTGTTATGTATTTAACAAAACTTTATTATAATTATTTATATACATTGTAATTCTTTTGTTATTGTAGGAAGATGTTGATTTAGCTGTTAAAGCTGCTCGTGAAGCATTTAAAAGAAATAGTATCTGGAGATCAATGGATTCATCTGTGCGTGGAGAACTTCTTAATAAACTAGCTGATTTGGTTGAAAGAGACAGAAAATATCTTGCTGTGAGTTTTATTATTCATACAAGTTCTTAACTATATGGAAGGATTGCAGTGGTTGACACTGATCACTTTTTTAAGTGTTGGCACTGCATTGTAGCAGTTGATCTATCTTTGCTTTTATTTTTGTACTGATATCATAAAATGTTTCTGCTAACATCATTAGTTGTTGGTTTCATTAGAGTTAAAAAAGTTTTTTAGTGTAGTTGTTAAAGGTTTGAACCTCTTTTTAAGTTTTAATTCAAATACTGATGCCATTAAATTCAAATACTCATGCCATTAAATTCAAATGCTCATGCCATTAAATTGAATTACTCATGCCATTAAAATCAAATACTCACGCCATTAAATTAACTTTTTAAAAAAAATTTTAATTTTTTTTTTTTTAATTTTAAATTATTTTTTATTTTAAAAGTTATTAAATAAAAATGTGAATTATTTTTTTAAATTTACGAATTTCAAAGTGTTTTTTAAAAAAAAAAAAAAATCTTATTGAATAATATTTACTTTTAAGGAACTAGAGACACTTGACAATGGAAAACCGTTTGAAATTGCATATAATGTTGATCTTCATTTGACTATTAAATGTTATCGTTACTATGCTGGATGGGCTGATAAAATTCAGGGGAAGACAATCCCTATTGGTACTTTAAAGTTTATTCAATTTAAAATATTGATTTTAAATATGAATTTTAACAACCATATTTTTATTATTGTACCAGACAACATTAAAAAGTTAAAAATTTTTTGCAATTATTGTAAACTGTAAACTAGGTTTCTAACAAATTATAGTTTTTAATTACAATTTTATATATAAAAATTTTTAAACAATTTATTTAGACGGAGATTTCTTCTGTTACACTCGACATGAACCTATTGGTGTTTGTGGTCAAATCATTCCTTGGAATTTTCCACTCTTGATGCAGGCTTGGAAGCTTGCACCATGTCTTGCTGCAGGCAACACTGTTGTTATGAAACCTGCTGAGCAAACTCCTTTAACTGCTTTATATGTGGCACAGCTTATTAAAGAAGTAGGTTACTTTTTCATAATTTCATGGGGCATTATGTCAATTTCGATAATAATCAGAAAATGTGGTTATAGAAATAAACCACACAAATGTGGAACATTGTGGATCTTAAATAGAAAACAAAACAATAAATGTTAACATTATTGTTGATATAACAGGGTGGCTAGCGGTCTGTGAAAATTTTAAAAACCTGGAAAAGTCCTGGATTTGATAAGTCCTGGGAAAGTCCCGCAAAAACACCTCTAGCAATAATTCCTGGAAATCCTTGAACTTTTTTCTGAAATAGTTTAATATTTTGTTATTGTATTTTTATTTTTACAGAGTTATTAATAATATTACATAGATTTATACTAAATTTGATAACTATGAATTATTTGTAATGTAAAAAAAAATTTGTTTATTTTACTGTAAGCATTATTACAATTTTTTTTTTAACATCTTCACTTCCAATAAGGCTGCAAGCAACCTCTTAATTGAATGATGAATAACATGAAAATGAATTTTAGTATATGGCACAAGAGTTTCTAGCTCTTTAGAGTAGTGCCCATTATAGTATTTACAGAAAAGAGAAGCAATATCATGACGATGTGATAATGGTTGGAGGTTGGCTACAAGAGCAGGTCCAACTATGTTTATTATGTGTTTTTGCGCCTTGTCTAAATAAAAAAGGGCATCATTAGAAGATTCGCCTTAGATATGGCAACAGTATTCCATACAAGGACAGATTTGAGATTTATAAAAGTAAAGAATAGAATCTGGAGTAAGAAAGTGGCGAGCACAATAAAGAGATTAATAAATAATAATAAGTTTTATAATGGTTTTATTTTACTTTTGATGGTAATAATTACCAAGATTAAGCCCAACAATAACAAAGATTTTATTAAACTCCTTTTTTTTTTTTTTTTTTTATAAAATGAATCTGTATTATTAATATAAATTTTAAAAAGCTAATAAAAAAGTATTTATATCATTATTTTCTGACTATTTTTTAAAACTTGTATTTGGTTGATTATATTAAATTTTTTTTTTTTTTTTTTTTTTGCGAGAATATTTTGATAAAAATATTTGTAATTTTTCTCGTTCTTAAAATTTTTATTGTTAGAAATTTATTATATAGATTTTTGTTTGTTTTTACAACAGTTTATAAAAACTTTATCGAACCATAATATTGTAATAAACCTTAGCAGATACTAATTTTGCAATCGGTTTGATATATGGTTTCCAAGAATTAATAACATTAATAAAATAAGTAGTTATATTATATGTTTATATAATTATTAAATATATATTATATAAATGCATAATTATAATAATAAAGTAGTTATATATTACATTTATATAATATATAATATTGTATAAATATATAATTGTATAATAAAATATATAATTATATACATTTTTGTGTATAAATATGATAAATGATAGCATAGTACATGTAAACTCTTAAGTAATTTTATTATTTTCAATTTTTGAAATTTAAATCAAAACTATTTGGAAGTTATATTTTAAAAAACTACTTTTTTACACTCTAACATCCCTAAAAACACTCTAGCAACTTTAAAAGCACTTTAATAAAAAAAAACTCTAGCATTAATAAAAGTTTTTGGATGTTTTTAAAGTCATTAAAATTATTATAAAAATGTCTGAAAACTTAAATATTGCAGTATAATGGCTTATACTACAAACACTTTGTAAGATAATGACTTTCACAAACATTTCAGTACTTCAATAGTTTTTACAAACTTCAACATATACCTATTTAGTATGATAATTCTATTAATACACCAGTTTAGTATAATGACTCATCATGACATGTTTTTTGTCAATCTGTTTATCTAGCACAACGCAGCATAAGTACAAGACTATATTATTATGCAACTTGAATTTTGAAGTAACTGGAATTTTAGTCAAAAAAAAGCAAAAAAGAAGATTTTATAGAACAGTGACCATGGAAACCATAACTAATAGTGAAAATATTTATTTAAAAAACATTATCATAGTAAGTTGATAATGGTTCAAAGATGGCTGCCAAATAAATGCAAATAAAATCAAAAACACATTTTGCCAATTGTCTAAAAGTTCAACCAAAAATAAATTTTGTTTTAAAAAAACAAAATTTTTTTTGTTTTAAAAAAACAAAATTCATTTTATTATACAGGGTGCTGGCCACCCTGTATAATAAAATGAATATGCATAAACATGTTATATTTTTATAAAATGAATATTTTTTCATAAATTAACATATTTTGTTTTTTCTGGTCAAGAAAAGATCAATCCTTGAAAATCTCAATTTTTCCTTGAAGTGTACTGGAAATATTTTAGAATTTTGAATTAGCTATTGGCTGGCCACCCTGTATAATAAAATGAATATGCATAAATATGTTATATTTTTATTTAATTAAATTTTGATTGTTTTTAAAAGTATGATAAAAAGATAATTTTTATCTTGTAATATTTATTTTAAGTTACTTATATTATTTTAAGGCAGGTTTTCCAGCAGGAGTAGTTAATATCATACCAGGTTATGGTCCAACAGCTGGAGCAGCTATCTCAGAACATATGGATATTGATAAAGTTGCATTTACAGGTTCAACTGAGGTAAACTTTTTAATAAAAAAATCATTTTTCTAGTAAAATCCCGAAATGCATAGATCAGGGGGATCACAAACACCCATAAAATCAAGTAACATAACCAAAAAAAAACTGCAATAAAACTGGCAATAAAACTGCAAAAAAACTGCAATAAAACTGTGCAATGTAATAAAATTACATTGCACACGTGTTTTGAAGAAATTAAAATTAAATGAAGAATTAAATGACTAAAATAAAATAGAAAATTAAAAGACTTTATAAATAATTATAAAAAAATGTAAAACTATTATTTAAATATTAAAAGTTATTTTTAATTAAATTACCTTGATATATAAAACTTAAATATAAAATACATCTATTTTTAATAGTTTTCGTTAATTCACTAATTGTAGTATAATAGACTAATATAAGAGTGATGCATAAATAACTTTTAAAATTTATCATCAACGTATTAATGAAAAAAAGATTAATCATAATTCTTATAGACAAATATTTAAAAAACTTGAATTTAATAATAAATTTAAAGTTAATAATAACTTTAAAATACCTAAATAAACATTTTAAAAGGTTTTTTGCATTAAGAATTTTTAATTTTTAAAGAAACTATTTTTGAAGGGATCTGCAAGTGCCGAGACAAGTTGTCTTGATATTAAAGAAAGGTTCAAAAAAAACTTTTAGGTTAAATTTTTTGATTAAAACTAAATAATAAATGCATATCAATAAAACAAAAATTGTTGTTTTGTTGAATCTCACCTTCTCCATTTTTTCTTGGTTTTCGAAGATTTTATAATATATGCTGCAATCTGCAGCATATGTAATTTTTTTTATGCACATTTAATTCATAACAGTTTCAGTATATGACGTCATTGTGGATTTTTTTTTTTGAAACATCAACGTATTTTTATTTTTTTTGCCACAATTAGCAAATCCTATTTATAATAGGATAATAATTTTTTATTAATTCCCAAAAAAAAATTTGTGAAAGAATTAAAAATAAAATAATATACTTGATTTTAAGATTTCAATAACATATTTTGTTTTTACCAATTGTAAGTATAAATCTTTATCTAGATTTTTATATTAAAAAGTTAGCTTTCACATCTTAACAAAATATATTTTTCTATTTAAGAATCAAATTTATTTTGTAAAACTTGAACTATTTAATTTATCTACTTGAAGTTTTCAAAATTATTTTTTTTTTCTTCGAAAACCAATCATATTTCGTATGATCAACAAATAAGAAAAAAAAAACATTAAATAAGCAAACATTTAAATTTCTATATTTTTATAAAAAAAAATTTTTATCTTTTATAAAATATCGTTTTATTTTTTACTGTATTACAAATATTATTTAGGATTTAATGAAAATATTAACAAATGATTTGCTGATTGTGGAAAAAAAAAACTTCAATACCTTAAAAGAAAAATTGATAATGACATCATATACTAAAACTTTTATGTATTAAATCCACATGAAATAAATTATGCAGTCTGCAGATTGCAGCATATATTATAAAGACACTGAGAACCAAGAAAAATAGAGAGGGGAAGCTTCAACTTTAACAACAATTTTAGTTTTATTGATATGCATTCAATATTTAGTTTTAATCAAAAAAATTTAACCCAAACATTTTTTTGATTAAAACTAAATACTGAACACAACTCCTTTTTCTTTTTGATAACTGAAAATTATTGTATTGCAGGCTTGGTCGGAAGCGGGTGCGATCGCACTCTATAATTGACAATGGAAATAATATTTAGTTGCGAAAAGCCGGCCAGATTTTTAAGTTGTTTTGAGAACATTTCAAAAACAAACTAAAAAGCGCAATAAGATTAACTTGACCGATGAGAGACAGTTAAAAAAGACACAAAAAAACTTTAAGCAAAATAAATATGATTATAGCAAATATTTTTGAAACGTCGCTCTTTTATAATTTTTTTTATAAAATTAAGTGACATTTTTTGTATAAAGCAACAACTTACTATTAATGATTGTTTAATTAGGAAACAAATGTTCTTCGATTTATCAAAGTGTATATATAATTTTTATTTACATACTTATGTCTTCTTTCCAGTGCTGGATTGACGAGGTGGGAGGGGAGTAGAAGGCCTATAGCCTCGAGACTCACAATGTTGGGGGCCGCGAAATAGTCAAAAGGACCATTCGGTATTTTTTTTAGTCATTTTTACGCTGTGGCACATAAAAAAGGCTGCCAAAATAATGCAGTCCTTGGTCCTGAAAAGTCCAACAAAATTCAACCAATAAAACTAACGCTAGATGATTTATTTATAAATAAAAAAGTTTTTCAATAACTGTTTTATGCTTTGCGTAGTTTGAAAAGTTTAACACATTTGAAACAATTTTTCTTAGTAAGATGAACAAATGAAATAATTAAATCATTGAGTTACTGCAGAAATTCAATTAGCTAAATAGAAATGAACTAAAAACGTTAAATTACTATGTGAGGAGGAAGCGGAGAAACGGAAAACTACTTTACAATAACGCTGAAGATGTTTAATAAGTGGGCTTTATAATTTTAATTAGTATTTAAAACAGAAAAAAGTAACTTTAAGTTTAAGTATAACGAGTTTGTAAGAATGGCTGAAGCAAAAATAATTAAAGTTAGTAAACCAATATCCAAGAACTTAAAAACTTTTCTTTCTTGGAGGAAAGAATCATTTATTGGGTACATTGAAATTGGTTAGTCGTTAAAATTATTTGTATTAACTTTGATGATTATTAATAATTTCATTAAAAATACAGTTATTATTGAAAGTATTTTTGTTTACAAAATCAATCGCACAAATTGCTTTAAAAGATTACATTTGAATAAAATACACATACATAAAATTAAATGCACAAAAAACACATTCATAAAAATACATTATATACATAAAAAATACATCCCTTATATAAAAATAAGAATATACTAATAAAACCTATAATATATTTACAAAACGTTGACAAGTTAAAAAAGATAAATTTAAAACATTTATTTTTGTAAACAAATAATGTTAGTTTAAAACATTTATAGCTTTGTAGATGTGGCTCCGAGAATTAAATAATAGTTCATTTGATAGTATATTCTTAAAGCAATTTATGCTAGAAATCTCAACGAAAACATAACAAAACTCAAATAATACAATTTTTTAAAATATTTCAACAAAATACTCTAGAAATTTTGGTGAGTATTTTTTGAACCAATAGAATTAGTTGTTCGTAGATTTGGCGGGTTTTTTGTGTTCGCAAATATTCTTTTTTTTTTCCGCACAAAGATGTTTGAGAACATTCGAGTTTGTGTATGTTTCCATGTATGTCTGTAAAACAAGATATTTTAAAATTTACGAACTTAATTAAGGAAACCAACATAAGTTTGAATGTTCAAAAATCTGGCCGGTTTTTCGGAATTAAATATTATTTCTGTAGTCAGTTATCAAGTGGGATCGCACCTGCTTCCGACCAAGCCTGGTATTGTAATGCAATTTTGTTTTTTCAATAAATAAAAATTTAATAAAAATAAAATCCTAAAAACTTTATAAATATATAGGTAGGAAAAATTATTCAAGCAGCTGCTGGTCGCACTAATTTGAAAAATGTTACACTTGAACTGGGTGGTAAAAGTCCTCATGTTGTTTTTGATGATTGCAATTTAAATGAAGCTGTTGAACTTTGTCATCATGGTTTGTTTTTTAATATGGGCCAATGCTGCATTGCTGGAAGTCGAGTGTTTGTGCAAGATACAATTTATGATGAATTTGTCAAACTATCTACTGAAAGAGCTGTTAAAAAAACTGTTGGATGTCCATGGGATAAAAGTAATGAACAGGGACCACAGGTATGAAAGTTCTTTACTTTGGTAATAATGAAAATATTGGAATTCAGATAGAAATATTAAATTACCAAATAAGCGTATTTTAGTTAGTTATTATTTTCATTAATGTTACAAACAAAATTTAGGAAAAAGTGAATATAGGATTTTAGGTATAATTATTTTTGCTATATACATGGATAATCTTTTTCCGGATATTTCTGGAATTCCAAATTGTTTTCTTAACTTTTAGTTTTTACGGATATCCAAAATGTTTTCCATATAAATATAAAAAAATGAAATTATTCAAAAGTAACCTGCTGAAAATTTTCCCGTAAAAAATACGGAATATATTTTTCTTTATTTTCCTCTTAATTTTGTTTTTAACTGAGTTATTTCAATTTTCTTCAAACTTATCTTAATTTTTGTATGAATGATGAATGGAAAAGCCTGAAAAGCAAATATATTACAAAAATATATACCTAAACTAGTATATATATACCAATATATTTACCTAAACTTGTATATATATACAAAAATATTTACCTAGACTTGTATATATATACAAAAATATATAAAATATAACTAAACTTGTATATATTTTTGTAATAAATTTGTTTTTCAAGCTTTTCCACTCATCATTCATACAAAAATCAAGAAAAGTTTGAAAAAAATTGAAATAACTCAGCTAAAAACAAAATTAAGAGGAAAATATATTCCGTATTTTTTCCGGGAAAATATTTCCCCAGATCTAATATTTATAAAAATAAATGGTTCTCTTAGTCCAGTTGAATAAGATTATTTTCGGTAAGAAATTTTTATAAAGCTGAAACTTTGCCCAGTTATTCCCTAAGGTATATGAATCGCATGAAAAAAATGCCCCGCGATTCCCAATAGGATATCCCCTTTTTTCGAACCCATATTATTATAGGATGTTATTAGGTCTTAAAATGAAAGAGCAACTAGTTATTTAATAAAAAAATGCTTAAAATTTTTTATTAATTTTTTTTGAAAGTTTTAAAAACTTTCATTAAAATGGTCATTTATCACATTTAAAAGAATCTAAATTAATTTGTTTTTTTTTTAAGTTATATTTCTGGATTAAGAAATCAATGAAACATAATATGTTTCTGTCGTCATCTTCATAATTTTCCATTTCGTTTTCTTCAACCTCATTACCCTACAGGAAATAGATAAGCAAATATATGACTGATATTTTGTAGAAATATTGATATGTGATAATAAAGATAAATGATGAGAGAACACGTCTTTTGTAATTTTCATTGTTAAAATTTACTTTGCTATTCACACATTTTGTTCAGGACATTCCCCACAAAATTGCAAGCACCGTATTTCGTATTTCTTGCACATACATGCTTTGCCACCACATGGGTTTTTTGTTATTGTCTTAATGATTAGCAAAAAAGGAAATTGTTGTAGTTAGATATAAAAAATATTTAAGTTAAAATTATATTGATAAAATTTTGTAAGATCTTTTCAAGGAGTTTAAAAAATACATTAATTTCAAAACAAACCTTGCAATTAAATCTAATGACCTTTGTTGCTACTGGCGCAATGTCTTTATCATTCATTATATGTGTGATTACTCTGTCGTGTTGCTTCCAGCCCTGTTCAGTTGCATCTATTTCAATGTCATTAATTAGCGACCATAACATTACTTGACAATGCGCGCGCAGGCCATGGAAGTAAGCAGCTTTATATTTTCAATAGTTAGAAGTTTCTCTGGCAATATTATACCCTTGCATGCTAAATCGATGTATTTATTATACCTGAAATTAATAATAAAATTAAGATAATTATTTTTGTACAATTTTTTTTTTTTTTTTTATTTGCATTCACTCCCAACAAGGCTGCAAGCAACCACTATTAAGTTGGGAGTTACTAGGAAAAAAAAAGAAAAAAGAACAGAGTTATAGAGCAAGGAAACGGTTGACAGAAGACTTGAAAAGTTGAAGGTTGTATGAGTCAGGAAAACATGAAGATGGGAGAGAGTTCCAAAGGATTGAAGTGCGGGGAAAAAAACTAGATGATTAAAAGTTTTTAGAGCATGCAGGGACAGATACAGTAAACGAATGAGACTTAGCTGAATGACGAGTAAGGGTTTTATTTTTTTATTTTTTTTTTAGGAATTAGGGTTCCTATGCTAGATAGAAAATAATTACCTCAATTTTGCAAGTGTGCTTCCCTTTGTTCCTCCATAAAACAAAATATAACCTTCAATCAAGGCGTTTCCAACTTTCTCTTGATTACTCCATGGACTTGTCATTACTTCTGATATTTTTTGTCATTTCTCATCCAAGATTTTTTCAACTAGTTTTGTTTTACTTTTTCCAAATACAGACGAAACAGTGTCACACCCCAACCATGCATGGACAAAGAGCAGGTGTTGTTTCATGGTTTTGTTTTTTAAGCAAGCATTCTTGATACTCCAAGCTTTATCCAATTTATCTTGCAAAAAGTAAATGTCAGACCTGTTGCTTTTCCAATGATGAATAAGTATCACTGCGATATCTGTGTCATCAGCCACAACAGTTACATGCTGCAAGCTTATGTTTGCGATATCAAGAGCGGTTTTAACAACGGTGCTATCAGCATCATCTGGGCAGTTTACAGTCAATTACCTCAATTGATTTGAATGCTGTGAAAAAAAATTTATAAAATTGGTTTTGTTTTGTTAATTACTATATTGCAGCTTTGTGGAATAGAATTTCTGCATAGATGCTTGTGACTCTTTGTGTCTTCATCTTGATAACCGTCAAAAATAACCATGACAAATCCCTGGTAATTTTTTTTTATAAAATTTGAATAAACATCTGCTACAGCATTGAATTTCGTTGCTTTAAACCAATTCTTTCTTGAGTGAATGAATGAATTCTTTCGCAATATTGATATAGTCAATGTACAACAGCCATATTTTAGATATTCTGGAGTTTTCCTTCAATTTCAACTTTAGCAGGTCTAATATTTGATCAATCTTTTTTATACTGTCACATGTTGCTAATTCATTAAGCATTTCTTCATCAAGTTTTCCACGGTAAGTGAGTTCATAAAACTACTGTAAGTCGTTGAATTTCACTTCACTTTCTTCTTTGATTTCTTTTATTAATAATGACGTTAATGCTGACTCAGTCAAAATGTGTACCCTTGTTGCTCTTGTAATGGCTTTTCCTGACATCATTTTAGTGACACAATCTCAGCATATATCTTGACAAAGAAATCCTCAAGATCTATTCCTTTCATGAGTGTACCAATGCTTCCTAGAAAACTCATAAGCGTATGAAAGCCACCAAGCCTGCAAACAATTGGGAGATTTTCTGCATGGATGATATTGAATGCCTTTAACCAAAGTGACTGGTCAAAAGTTATACAAGGGGTTTCGACTTTGAGCTATTTGCTTTGGGAGATAACAAGAAGCAAAGTTGAGTAAATACATGATTCATCGGAGGGATTGAGATCTATTATTGGGAGAAATGAAACAGCTGATTGAAATCCTTTTTGCGGGAGTTGCTTTGTTGAGTATTGTAAAAATCCAGACCATTGTTTGGACGAGGTTCTTCAGTTGATGACAAAAACCAACTTGCGTGCCACAAAAGATCATAAGTAGACATCATATTATTCATATCAGAAATGAGTAATCTTACTGTAACCTTGGAGATTGTTTTAAATTGAAACTTTTTTATAAGCGTAGATTTATGATACAGAACAATCTCTATACCACGATTGTTAGCAAATGCTGCTGTTGGTAGAAGTTGTCTCAATCTTGGAACTTTACCAAGATTTGATGGAAACGTTTGGAGACAATATCCAACACCATTACTGTCTTCAATCATTTTATCATATAAATCTCTAATAGAATATATTTCACTTCCAGCAGCGTTTTTGAGCCAACCGCAAATGTTTTCAAATGCATCAGTCATGATAGGATCTGCTGATCTTCCCCTACCATTTTTCTCTACTTTGTTCAGCCTGAAGTCAGCCATGCATGAGTTATGATAAACTGCTTTTTCTGCAACTAGGTGATTTATTGTTCCCAATCTTGTAAGTACTGCATCGCCCCATACATCATTACTTGATTTTGCACACTCCATAATAGTGTTGTGTAATGGTAGCGTTTGCACTCAGTGGAATCTCTCTTTATGTTACTTAATAAGCTTTGAGCAAATAAAACAACAAACTTTCCAGAGAAAAGCAGTTTGAATTAATGAACGTAACATCTTAGGTTCTGGCCCAACAGGTTTTTTTGGAAAGTCAGTGAGCCTCCGACAACATTTATGATGGACATTCATTTGCTTTTGTTTATCTCGGTGGTCTTTAAGTATTTGAGATTTGTTTCCTTCTTTGTAGAAGACGCTCTTAATAGGGTTCTCAAGCCTTTTTCACTGACCAAATACATTTGCCTTTTATCACTTCGCCAAATAGTACCTGGCATAGATGCCATTTCTAAATTAAATCATAGTGGAAAAAACAATAGAATCAAATAAAATGGTTAGTCAAGTGCTTTCATCAGGAAAAAAATACAAAAGACTCAGTTAAAAGTTTAAGATTAATAATTTCTGAAAGATCAGTTAAAATGCAATGTCTTCTTAAAATCAACTTTCAATATTTTCAAACATGTTGTTATTTTTATAGGCTAGGTTTTCAGACCATTTTTTATTACTTATTAACAATTAATTATTATTTGAATGTATTGCATTTATTTGTTAAATAACTAGTCACCCGTTCATTGTAAGACCTTAGTGTCATTTAAAAAGTTGTTCTGCATAAAATATGCTTTAAAACGGTATATCATAAGTCTATATTTGAACACAGTTTTTTTTACTTTTTAGTGCATGTGTCATTTTGAAATAGGGCCCAAAAAAGGGGGTTTTGTTGGGAATCATGTGGCATTTTTTTTACGTGATCTTAGGGAATCACTATGCAAAGTTTCAGCTTTATAAAACTTTTTTTTTCACAAACAGTAGTTTTTTGAGTTTTACTCCTGGACTATCTAGGTAGTTTCAAATTTTATATTCTGTAATGATTCATTTATTAAATTGTATAGGTTGCAAAAGTTGAAGAACTAATTTAAAAAAAGTTAATTCAAAACTAAAAAATAATTACTTTAAATTTGCGCTTACTTGGGTAATATAATAATAATTTTTAATAAGTAATAAATAGCAAGTCTTATAGATTTAAAACAAATCCAAGTATCTTGAAAAATGAGTACTGTTAACAATACTGATACTACTGCAGAGTTTAGAGTTATATATGTATGTTATATATACTATGTTAAATCATAATGCAGTTCTTCATAAAAAGCACCTTGGTGCTTTTTATGAAGAACTGTAATATTTTTGTTGTTACTGTTAATATTGATAGAAATTTATTATTGTAAATTTTTAATAAGATAAATATTAAATATTTTTGAATATTTTTTTCAAATTTAAACAATCGAAATAGTCTATTGTTTAAGAATTGGCTAATTTAAAAAATACAAATCTTCTATTTGGTTATATAAGTTAGTAAAAAGTTAATCGAAAGCAATCAAGATGTAAAAAAAAAATAAAAATAATAATAAAAATAGATTTTTATATATGATATAAACAATATAGATAATAAAAGATAGTATAAATGTTGAAACAAGTTATTTAAATGATCAAAATAATATAGTTATAAAATGATATAGTAATCAGCCCTCAGAATTAGGGTCGGTATTTGACAATACCGACCTAACTGTTGATCTAAAAGTGTTTGAGGTCAACAAAAAATTGTCTTGTTTCTATGTTTTATGGCAAAACTTTTATGTTGAATTTTTTTGTTGAACTGATGCCAACCTCTAATAGTTTAAATTCGGCAAAAAAATCCCAACCTCATTTTTCCTAATTCTGAGGGCTGAGTAATATAAATTGAATAGATTTTATAAATAATAGTAATATAGTTATAGTTAACTATGTAAAATAAAGAAATATTACCTATATAAAATATAAAAATCTTATACAAATTAATTTTTCTAGATTGATAAAGCTCAATTTGACAAAATATTAAGTTTAATTGAAAGTGGGAAAAGTGAAGGTGCACAGTTAAAATGTGGGGGCAATCGACATGGAGAAAAAGGCTTTTACGTACAACCAACAGTATTTGCCGATGTTACTGATGACATGACTATAGCTAAAGAAGAGGTTTTGTTTTTTTATTGTTTTTTTTTGTAAATAAAATTATATAAATATAAAAATAACAAACTTTTTTTATTATTTCATTTGAATATATATGTGTGCATATACATACATACATACATACATACATACATACATACATACATACATACATACATACATACATACATACATACATACATACATACTTCATAAATATTATGTCTACAAGAAATGTTTGAAATAGTTACACATCTAAACCAAGAATCTTTATTAAATGAAAAATTGAAATTGATTTCTAGATGCAGCCATGAAAAAAAGTTTCTCTTAAAAAACTATAAAAATATGTGAGCTCAAAAAATAAATCTTTGTTTAAATGGATCCCCAACCTCCAAGACATGTTGTGTTCATATTAAAGAGAATTATAAAAAAAATGTTTGGGCTAAATTTTTTTGATTATAATAAAAGAATAATTGCATACAAAGAAAAACTAACTTTTATTTTAGTCGAAGTTTGCTTTCTCCATTTTTACAAAGTTTTTATAAACTTGCTTTCTTGTGTATGTGTTTGTCTGTCCGGTTAAAATCTTTGAAGCTATATTTAACCCACTTTCCGACTAGCTGGAGCTCTGAAACTTTCAGGATAGCTCAGAACCCATGACAATGCAATTTAAAACCATTTTCAAGTTCGGCAGTCAATATTTCTCTCGATTTCAACGAAATGATTAATGAATGAGTTCAATACTTTTGCAATTCTTTTGTTACAACTAATTATATAAAATATATTGTAATGGACAAAAAATATTTCAAATAATTCAGCACGCGTATTAAACAAAAATTTAGTGAAAAAATAAATAATAAATAGTGTAAGTGTTAAAAACAAATAAATCTAAAAAGTAAAAAATAATCTTCAATAAAAAATGAATTTTTTCTAAAAACAACATTTTTCAAGCGAACTAAAAAGTAGAGATTGTTGTAGGCCAAATAGTCTTCATAATATGGCGTATATTACAATCTAAAGATCTGATAAATTTATTCAAGCGCGTTTTATTCCTGAGAGTTTTAGTACATGACATCATTGATTTTTGACTATCAACTAAAATAAAAATGTTAGTCTTTCTTGGTATGCATTTATTTTTTTGTTTTAATCAAACAAATTCAGCCCCATTGTTTTTTTTTATCATTCTCTTTAATATGAACACAGTATGTCTTGGAGATTTGGGATCCCTTTTAAAATATGTTTAATAATAGGCAGAAGTAAACATCTCTAAAGTATTCTTTTTATAATAGTGTCAACATATTCCACAAATTTGTAATATATTTTTATAATTGATACCAAAAATTAGGTTCTTAATTAAATGTCTTAACAGTAGTTAAGACATTTATGACTTCTTATAACTTAATTTTTGGTATGTGTTTAAATTTTATTAATTTGATCATTTATTTTCTGACAAGTCTTTATTGACAAAACACTGTGTAAAATGAAAGATCTTTGAAAATTGATTTTCTACTAATTCATTATTGTTCTGTTCAGTTAAGAACATTGAGCAATCAAGTTTGCAGAATACATTAAAAATTGTTTATACATAATACATACATACAATCATACATACATACATACATACATACATACATACACACATACATACATACATACATACATACATACATACATACATACATACATACATACATACATACATACATACATACATACATACATACATACATACATGTCCACTCTGTTGCAACTCTTAAATTTAATTGATGAATGTGCACTTTGCTGCTAGTAAAAACAAAAAAATAATAAACTATAAATAATAAATTAAAATAATAAATTTTGAATAAAAAATTATATTTTGCAAAAATAAAAAAAATTAGCTTATTTTTATTATTTATTCCTCCACTCTTATCATATAGGTTTTTAAACATTGTAAATATTTTCTAGAATTTGAAATTATTTGTATAGATCTTTGGTCCAGTCATGCAAATTATGAAGTTTAGTACTATGGAAGAGGTTATTGAACGAGCCAATTTAACATGTTATGGACTAGGTGCTGCTGTTAATACAACTAATATAAATCGTGCACTAGAATTTGCTCATGGTGTGCGTGCTGGTACAGTCTGGTATGTTTATAACTTATGTTTAACTCATAACAAATTTTTTTTTTGCTGCTATATCAATTTTATTCATATGTGTAAGAAAGTTTTCATTACAGACATAAGCAGGTTTTCTTATATTTTGATAACACACTACAATAAAAAAAAAAAAAAAAAAAACAGTCAAATTTTTTATATCAGAAAATTTTGTCAATGCTTTTTAAAGCATTTGTCAAAGTTTTTGTTCCAATTTTCTGCTATTTAAATTTCTAACTTTAAATTTTATTATTTTTATAGTTTTAAAGTTTTTAAATTAACTTTGTATTTAATTTATATTTAAACTTTAATACAATCTGATATTAAAGTTAAGGTTAATCGTAATCATCATCATTATCTGGCTTTGTTGTGTTAGCGGTATTAATTTTATTAGTAGGTTGTATTAAAGCTAAAGTTAGGCATCATCTTGGAATTATCATCATCTGGCTTTGTTATAATAGCTGCAGTAGCGCATACTACTGGAAGTAGTATGTACTGCTAATGGTATAACAGCACATACTACAGAATTAATAACCAAAAATTTTGTTTTGCTTTGACTGTAGCTCAATTTAAACTAGAAGGTGTCATTTTTGTATACTTTATGTATGCATAGGTGTTATTTGTGTATACTTTATGTATGCATAAAATTGTTTTAAAAATAATTAAGTTTTGAGATATATACTTATTTGAAAGAAAGAAATTATACCATCATATTTACAGAGATTTAATTATTCACCACCCTTATTAAAAAAAAACCTGTTTGTTTTAACTGGAATTTTTTATCAAATGAAATTACAAAAGCAAGATCTTTAAATGTTTTCAAAGCGTGAATTGATCAATTTTTTTGTTAACTTGTCCTTGTAAATTGCGTGGGCTGTCTACAACATTGATGCTTGTGTCATTTCATTTTCACAGTTTATTTATTTTTTAAATATTTCATTATATTTAAAAAAAAAAATTGTTACAGCAATAACAATTTTTTTTTTTTTTTTTTTTTTATTTTACTTCACCTCCTCAAGGCCGAGAAGGCCACTACAGACAAGGAGGCTACTTATTTTGTGGCTATAACCCTCTCTCAACTCTATAACTCCGAAACACGAACCTTGACGAACAAGGCCGCTGCGCGGATAAACGAGTTGAGCGCGGTACTACCAGGGACGTGGTGGGGATCGAACTCGAAACCACTCGTTTATGAAGCGAGCGCTCTACCACTACACCACTACCGCATAAGTTGCTATTGCTATTGCTATTATTCAAAAAGTAAAAATTCAAAGATGATGGCAAAATTGTCATATTTCAAAAAATTAACATTTTGTTTAACATATTGCATATCTTCCCAAGCACCTTTAAAACATAAAGCATTTTGTTTTTGACCTTTTTTTACTTTTTACTTTTGGCTAATTTAAACTTAGATTTTTAAGTTTAAATTAAATTGAATCAAACCTTGGATCTGTTGATTCTGATTTCAAGGTTTGATGTCTCTAAACATGACTCCGCTGTGATACAAGACCCGCTGTGGTACTGTGATTTTTTTATGGTGATAATTCGGCTAGTTTTATATCTTGCATGTTTTACTAGCCAAATATTGTTTTACTAGCCAAATGTTGTTTTACTAGCCAAATACTTTTAAGTGTAAAATTAGCTAAATTAGTAAATCAAGATACTTTTAATTATTTTTATGTTTATAATTAATTTAAAATGTAAATAATCATTAACAATTAATGAAAATATTTTTAAAAATAATGTTATTTAATATTGAATTAAATTTTGATTTTAGTTAAATTTATTGTGATTATTTTCCAGGGTGAACTCATATGACAACTTTTCATGTGCAGCACCTTTTGGTGGCTACAAAATGTCTGGCAGTGGAAGAGAATTGTATAGTTTAATATTTTTTTCAAGTTTTTTATTTATTTTCTTTCATATTGTAAAAGAAAGGAAAAGTTGTTTTAATATTTTACATGATATATACATATTTTTAAATATTATTATTGTTTTTTAATTTTGTTGTTTAGTTTTATAGTATTTTATGTTAATTTTGTATATGTATTAGAGTTTTGTCTCAGTTTGTAAATCTACTGGGTTGAATGTAATCAAAAGGTTTTTAAAACAATTAAGCAAAATCAACATAACAATAATTTTTTTTTTGTTGCTTTTTTTTAACATAACAGTAATTTCATTTTTTTTTTAATTTACATAATTTAATTTGTTTTGTTTTTTTTATTTACATAATTTAATTTGTTGTTTTTTTTACATAACAATAGTTAAGTTTGTTGTTGTTTTCTTATTTACAAATTAATTTGTTGTTTTTTTTACATAATAATTTAATTTTTTTTTTTTTTTTTTTTTTGACATAATTTAATTTGTTTTTGTTTTTTTTTACATAATAATTTAATTTGTTTGTTGTTTTTTTTACATAATAGTTTAATTTGTTTGTTGTTTTTTTTACATAATAATTTAATTTGTTTGTTTTGTTTTTTTACATAATTTAATTTGTTTGTTTTGTTTTTTTGCCTAAACAATATAATCACTTATAATTAATACTTAACTTAACACTGCTGCTCACTATTTGTGCGCGTTTTTGCACGGAGTTTTATGAGCATGCTTCTCCTTTTAGATATTTCTCTTTATATATTTTTAAATTTTTTAGGGGAGAATATGGTTTGCAGCAATATTCTGAAGTTAAAACTGTAAGTTTTTTTTATTCAAATTTTTTTGTTTAATATATATTTATAATGTATGGTGGGTATTTTTATTGTATAATATATATATTTATAATGTATGATAAATATAGTTAACAATGTATATATGTAATGCATATAAACATTTCCTGACAATTAATTTAAATAAAATTATTATTTATCAAATAAATAATATTTAATTTAATATTTAAATAGTTAATTTTAAAGTGTTTTTTTTATTCAATAATTTAATTATAAATATTGTATATAGTAATTTATATTTAAATTATTTAACCAAAACATTAAATTTAATTGTTTTGATAGTTTAAATCTTAATAACAAATCTTAATAACAAATCAAGACCACATTAAGAAAGAAGAATTAAAAACAATGACCTACAAGTGAATGGAAAATCTTATTTTCCCTTTCATTACTGCATTAAAAGCAAAGTTGTCAAGATATCCTATATATTGCTTACTAGTTTTGCTTATCTTTATAGCATACAGCTTTTTCAGAAAAAGAGGATAAAGATAAAGAATAATGAAAGAAAAAATTGCTGTCTCATCCCAAACCCTCAGTTGATGTAGCAGCATTCCTTTGCAGCATCAGGATATAATTTTTGATATTTCCATTGAACTTTTAATTTGTTCCTTTTTCATTTCAGGGATAATGTTCTTTTAGTGATAAAAAGACAAAAAAAAGCAGACTAGCATTTAAAAGATATCTTTACTTCATCCTAGCCTTTTTTTTAATTAATTTTTGTGTTTAATAATTTAGTTATTAACTAAGCAGTTATGTAATAATATAAAAATGTTATAACATAGTCAATCATTTTAATAAAACAACAACAACAAAAAAAATCGTTTATGTAAAATGACATATTGTATAAAAATTCTGTTATACAATATGTCATTTTACACAAACGATTAATCATACTTAGCGTATTATTATAAAAATTCATTTTTCTTTCTTCTGCTGCTTTGTGAATAAGAATCAAATACCAAAGTTTTGATAAGCACTATAAAAACATGTGGGCAAATATTTAGAAAAATATTTATGTAATTTAACTTTTTAATAAATTAGTTGGATACTTGTAAAGTTAAGATGATTGTTTTTTCCCATTCATACCTGCACTTAAACAAACTGCAACTTAATCGTGTCTTATCAAAACAACATCGCAATGTTGTTTTATTTGAATAGCTTTTGCTGAATTAAAATCAGTTCCTAATTTTTTGTGAATGAAAAAATATAAAACATGTTTAAAACTGTTTAAACTTTATTTTTGGTCTGAATGGGGTACAAGTTACACTGTACTTTTTTTTTTTTTTTTTTTTGCTATTTGTATGCGTTTCACTATGTGTTTTTTTTTCTTCTATGTTTTTTTTTTTTCGATTTGTTTCTTTACTCTCGAGTGAACTGGTTAACTTTGGACGTGTTAATTTTTTTGCAACTTATATTTTGTCTGTTTTTTAACACACTAATTATTCAACTTATAGCAATATTTCTTGTTTATTTACATGGCATGTATTTAATTTAATCTTTCTATTCAACTTAATGCAATTTCTTGGGACGGAATTATACGGAATAGTTATTGCTCTTTAAAAAAACTTTTTGATTTTTCTTTCTTATTTTTTACTTCATAATGTTACATAATTATTACATAACTACCTGTCTGGACTTGTGAACCAGCACCTATCATTTATGTTCTTATTCTTTATTTAGTCTATTTATTCCAATAGATTTAAGATAATGGAAAATAATAATGCTTCATCTTTGCTTTAAGTTAATTATTAATACTTTATAACTTTTAATTGAAGGTCTCTAATGATGATGATAAAGTTGGACTATTGATTTTTTACTTCTTTTCGGACTCCCCCTCTCTAGCTTAATATTAATGTAAATAGTTGAAAAAATATTCATGTAAAATAATGTTGCAATTACTTAAACAATAGTTTGGCATATGAATTAATATTATGTATAATTGTTTTGCAATATTTTTACTTCAAGAAAGAAAAAAAAAAGTATTACTGCAACAAAATTTATTTACAATTATTAAATAATATAAAAAATGCATTAAAGTTAAAAAAAATATATCTTTTGAATATGTCTTGCTCCTTCCCACTCTTATTCCAAATTTTCAAAATAAAGTATGAAATATAATGTATTAATATAATGAAAAAAATTTTCTGCTTTATTTCCCCCTCCTCCTCCTCCTCCTCCCTTTCTCTTCAAATAAAAATCCGTGCTGCAGTTCATAAACAAATTTGTTTTCACATTTACAAATTATACTTATTGTGCTATATTGCTAATTATATATATGTCATATACACCATATGAGAAATTTAGAATAAAAAAAATTAATGAATTATATGTAAATATTTCACTAATTCACATCGCATTTCATTAATTCACATCGCAAAATAATTTCATTAATTCACATGTTTAAAAAAGTTATCCTGATTAAGGAGTGTATAAAAATATTGGTCATAGAATGCCAGAGTCAATTTTAGTATGTAAGCCTTAATTTTTATTTAAATCTATCAATTCTATTGATTTTATTAAACTTACTGCAAAAAGAAACAATTTAATTCTTATAATAAACTTACAGAAACTTGTTGAGCTCGACATAGCGTAGGAATCGATCAGAAATGTTACAACAATCTTTTTAAAAATAATAAGATGACTTAATTGAAACTTTAACAAGGTTTCTTAACTTTATTATTTTGCCTCACGGTTTTTACTATACGAAATCTTTTATAAATGCAGTTTTTGTATTGTCCCAAATATATACATCCTAACTTAATTATTTTAGATGGTCAAGTAAATTTTTTTTACCAAAAGCTAAATTAATTTTTTTTTTTTTATTTAAAAAAGAAACAGCATTTTCTTTCCTTTACTAAAGCTTGTTTATGTAAGGTTGTTGATCCCATATGTAACATCGTTTTTCCCAGGCAATTGTAATCATATTATAAGTTTTGAATAAACCTTTTAAATTGTCACTGTAAAGATGAAAATAATTTTTAAAAGGATTTTTTTTTTTTAACATCTTCGCTTCCAACAAGGCTTGCAGCCTTGTTGGAAGCGAAGAGAAAAGATGAAGATTGTAGAGCAAGATAACGATTGGCAGACGACTTGAAAGATTGCAAATTATATGAATCAGGAAAGCAAGATGAAGGAAGCCAATTCCAAAGAACTGATGTTCGAGGAAAAAAACAAGACGAATTAGAGTTTTTGGAGCACTTAGGAACAGTAACAGAAAAAGGATGAGACTTAGTTGAATGACGAGTAACACGAGAATGAATTTTTGTAGATGGCACAAGAGACGCTAGCTCTTTAGAGCAGGGCCCATTATAGTATTTGTAGAAAAGAGAAAGAGAAGCAACATTACGACGATGTGACAGAGGTTGAAGGTTGGCTGCAAGAGTAGGTCCAACTATGTTTACAATGCGTTTTTGTACCTTGTCTAAAAGAGAAAGGGCATCATTAGAAGATCCACCCCAGATATGGCAACAGTATTCCATACAAGGCCGGATTTGAGATTTATAGAGATAGAGAATAGAATCCAGAGTAAGATGTCTAAATTATTGCGATAACGATTTGGCTGAAAAAAATTGAGTTTTATCTGAATTAAAGTTCACCAGCCACTGTGAGCCCCATGCTGTAGCAGAAGTGAGATCCTTTTCGAGCTTAAATGCCCCCTGCAAGCAATCAGAGGGAGTTGGCTTCTTATCGTGACAAGAATAAATGGTAGTATCATCAGCGAACAATGCCACCTTAGATGTGAGAAAATCTGGAAGATCGTTAATGTAAATTAAAAAGAGTATAGGGCCAAGGATTGAACCTTGAGGAACACATGAGGTTACAGAATAAGAAGAAGAGTGCTGTCCATCAAGGACAACTTTTATACTACAATTGGAAAGGAAGGATTTGATAATCTTAAAGATGTTTCCAGATACACCGTAAGAAGAAAGCTTATGGAGAAGACCAGCATGCCAAACTTTATCAAATGCCTTAGAAATATCAAGAGCGATGGCCTTAACCTCTCCACCTTTATCTAATGCGCGATAAAACCTATCGGTTATTACTGTTAGCAAATCAGCTGTAGAACGAGAAGATTGAAATCCATATTGATGATCAGAAAGTAGGTTATGAGATTCGAGATGAGAGATTAAGTGTTTGTTAATTAAAGATTCAAAAACCTTGCTTATGATAGGAAGAAGACTAATGGGACGGTAGTTAGACGAATTAGATCGCTCTCCAGAATTTTTAAAAATAGGGATAACAGATGCTGCTTTCCATCAGGCTGGAAAACAAGACTCTGATAAGCACTTGTTAAATAGTTTTGAAAGGATAGATAACAGCTCCGAAGAACACTTCTACAAGACAATAACAGGTATGTTGTCCGGGTCGCAAGCTGTAGAAGAGTCTAAGCAGGAAATCACTTTAGATACAGAAGCTGGAGTGATACGGATGTCGAGCAGTGGATCAACCTGTTTGACGGCTATATCAGGTTTTACTGGTTATTTTTTAAAAAAGAAGTGAGCTGTTCCAATTAAGGAATCAAAGTGTTCCATTTTAGAAACTGGTTGCCTTGATTGGAACAAAATGGTGTCTTGACAATATTTATTTGCAAAAACAGTGCAATCAATTAAGTCAAATTATTAGTATAGTAGTGTTGTCTCATTGTATTAGTTAAATCAAAAATCTTGTATTGAAATTTTTAATCATAAAATCATCTTTCATAATTGAATCATCTTTGGTTAAAAAATATTTATTTCTTAGTTGTTCCAATTTTGGCAACTCTCCCTTACTAAAGTTGTATAAATATGTAAGGATAATGTATGCATGAATATAAATAAATAGCAAATATATGTGTATATATATGTATATCCATATTATATGCCAGTATATGATAAATAGAAAATATATGCATAAATTTATAATAAATAAAGTAATATAAATTTTTTCTTCACTCCAGGTATTAAGCCCTTTTAAATCTTATAATTTTCCAAGGCTATGTTTGTACAAAGTTCCGTATTTATCTGGTGTCAGTAGCGCAATAACTTACTTAACTGCAGCGTAGTGGACCTCTTATCTAAAGAAAGAGCCTTTGCTTCAGATAAGAGTTCCAGGATCTGATAAAAGGAGGAGGGAAATTCCTAGATAAATGCTTTTCTGCCGTGCTTTTTGAAAAGACTGTACAGACTGCTTAGAGTATCTAAATAATCACAAAAAAATAATAGTAAAAAAAATGAAGGTTCATGATACATTTTACATTAACAGTAATTGAGCGCATAACATTTGGAGGAACTGCCCGGATCACAAGTAGGTTCTCTGCTTACTTGTGATCTCTTGCCAATCAGCTCACCTACTTAAGAAAAGATTAACTTTTATTTATTTTGTTATTTCACACACCCTAGATAACTTGAACGAAACCGCAGCTATACTAACTTTGTTATTTACTTATGAGCCATTTATGCTTGGGAAAGATTTATCCGTTTACTGAACTAACTCAATGTGGTGATACGGCCAATAATACTCACTCCTCTCTCAACAACTCCACCTCTACAGATTCTACCGACTCATTAGAACTATCTGACACTAATCCATTGAAATGGGAAAACAACCACGGCTCAACAAACAAGAACGTCAAAAACAATATGTCTCTAGAGGAAATTTTGGAATGTTTAGCAATGAAACCAATCCAGTAGATGCAACCAAAAATGTTTAAGGGTACTGAAACTAAAAACGTCAGCAAATGGTTAGCTAGCTTTTGCTGTGATCGGATGCAAGAAAGTTGTTAGCATTTCTACTATACCTGGAAAGTAGTGCCCTGGTGTATTTTGAAACACTACTAAGAATGATTTTAACCAACTCTAACAACAATTCTGCTGTCACTATGGAAATGTTGACATAGCATGGAACAGAAAAATGAAATTGTTTGGGTAGTCACAGGATGCAGGTTTTAATTCATATATTAACACCCTCGATATATTAACACCCTCGAGTCAGCAATTAGGTATCAATGACAAGATCAAGTTGAGTTTATTCATTAAAGGATTGAAGCTTCACCAATGGGATACCATTAAATTAAAGCAACCTTCTGGTTATCAAGCTGCAGTAGCATTTGCTATGCTACAAGACTCAATTGCATAAGACTCAACCATCTCTTGATTAGAAACTCAGCTAGATGCACTCCCAAATTCCCCTAAACAAACAGTGGTAGCTTCCATCTACCATGAGCACCCTAACTTGTATCAGCGCATTGTTGAATTGCAAACAGTAATAGACTCATTAAAGAAAAACAATAACCGCCGTACCCAGCACAAAAGATTTTGTTCAAAGGGTCGTAACCTGCATACCAGTGATGGACAAGTGATATGCAATCAATACTTAAAAGTAGGGCACGTCCAAAGGTTGTATCAAGTTTTCCCATTACCAAAAAAATTACTATATCACCACAACATAACCGTTGGAACCATTTTACCCAAAACTCAACTACATTTTGTAATACTTCTTTCCCAAAGGGACAATTTCAAAACAATACACCAAGAAATAATTCGCATTCAAATAACTGAATTCCTCAAAGATACACTAACACACTGGAATTTTATCCAGATGAAGAAGACTTGTGCTCTAAAATTTGGGGTAGATTTATGGTAAACCCGTTCTTACTATTATGGATACAGGAGCAATATGTAGTGTAATGGATACATCTGTTTACAAGATTATAAAGGAAAAAGTTGCCAAATTTTTACTCTATTACGGCTAACTAAAAATGGCAATTTTCATGCAATGTTAGCATAGGAAGCAGTACTTTCAAACATCAAGTTATGATTGGTAAAAATTTAACAAATTTATTCACAGATTTAAGGTTGAACTTGACTGTGGTGACACCTGGTTAATTTTGACAATAAATTCAGCATCTCAATGAATAAAGAGGCTATTCGAGATAAGTTTACTTCTTCAATTAATGACAAAAAGCCCAATATTGAGGCTTGTGTCAAAAAATAAAGCTGTAAATTATCTCCAACATTTGACTTCTCCTTACCAGAGATCCTACTTTATCAGTACTGCATATACCCTTCTTGAGAAAAGTAACAATACTCAATCACCAAAACTATTAAATGCACCTTCTCAGCTCATCTTTGTGCCTCCCATCCGTCAACAAGTTCCTAATAGTGACTACCAATTTGCACCAGAGAAAGTAAGACAACCTGAGAATTGATTGTCACAAAGACCATTTATTAATGTAAGCAAATTATAAAAGGTGTTTCATATTCTTATATTAAGTATGTTCCTCCTACCAATGATTATGATAAGCATATATATTGGCGAAGTTTTCGATTGCACAAGAGTACAACCAATAAGGGTTTATCAACTACCAACAATCACTTCTTGTAAGCTTAATATGCACTCATTGAATGAATCAGTAAGATTCATTCGAAAATTTTCAAAATATTGAGATTTACCTTTCGCTCAAAGCCAAATAATTTAGGAACAATTTGGGGGATTTTTGGGGGTATTTTGCCGCTTGAGCACAAGGTAAATGTCAATATTTTCAGAATTTTTTTTTGAAATCGTATTTTTTTTTTTATATTTGCTCCAAATTTGGCTTCTTGTGTATTTGCGTTTTGAAAATTTTATTTTTTTAAACACCCCTAATATATATATATATATATATATATATATATATATATATATATATATATATATATATATATATATATATATATATATATATATATATATATATATATATATATATATATATATATATATATATATATATATATATATATATACACACGTTGTATGTATATGAATAATTCTACAAAATAGAGTACTCAGTGTTCTTTCAAAAAGTAATTAAAAATTAGTAGATATCACTTATCAATTTTACACAGTGTTTTGTCAATGAAAGCTCTTTAAAAATCTGGCTACATTAATCTGAACGCCTTAAGATTTTTTGAAAGTTTTTATTGTCGAATAAAATATAAAAAAAAATTATAAGTGGTTCTACTTATTTATTTACATTTAATATATCTATATATGTGCATGAAGGATTGTATAATCCTGCATGCACATATATATATATATATATATATATATATATATATATATATATATATATATATATATATATATATATATATATATATATATATATTATATAATATATTATGTGCATGAAGGATTATATACACAATTTTCAATCCAATCTTTATTATATATACAATTTTTAATCAAATCTTTATATGCAGGATTTTAAATTCAATTTACATATCGTTACATGCAGCATTTATACAAACATTTATACATGCAGGATTATATATCCAGTTTACATATCTATACATAATTTACATATCTATACATAAATTTTTTATTTAGGTTATGGTCAAAATTGGCAAGAAGAATTCGTAATTAAATTTAACTTAGCATCAAAAACATAAAGCAAGAAACCCGTTTCTAAGTGTCAATTTGATTCTTAAGAAATCGATTCTTTATTTAAGCATTTTTTAAACGCTTTTTCTTTTTGCAACACTTGTTAAAAATGTAAAGAATTTATTTTATATATTGCAATTTTTTTACTACTTTGTACCTGGTTGTAATATCTAACTTTAATCTTAGATTTTGAATCTCAAGGTATATATACAACTTTAAACGCAGGTTCCGAAACAGTGGTGTATTTGTATCTTTAGGCTAATACGTTAAAAAGTTTTGTTGTATGCATTGCCTATCTTATATTTAAAAATGTACTCTCAGGTGCTTAATACACGTTGATTATATTAGGAAAATGTTCCCACCCACCCCGGGCTTAATAAGACCTTCCCTCTCCCTTTATTGATTTTGCTTATTTATCAACAAGGGCACTAAAACCACTAATTTAACACCCACTTCCCCCTTTTACGCAACTGTATGTTTTCAACAACCCTATTTCTCCGTGCGTACGCATTATTTATCAGTATTTATCGGCAAGGAACTTATTATATCTCTCTAAGATTTTAATTTGTGTTGTATTATTTTTGCTGGGTTTAAAAACAAATTGCTATATTCTAAATATAGAGATGTAAAATATATTTTTGTAAATTCGGGAAAAATACTACTAATTCTTATCTAGATATTAATTCAATTCTATTCTAGAAATTTATTATTAGTCGTTGAAAAAGCACAACATAAAAAAAATAACAATAAACTAACTCTAAATATTGCTTCCGAATTTTTTTAACTTCCATCTTTTATTTGCAATGCTTCAATTGCTTATGACTTTTGAAACAATATCATTGGATAATTTTTGTTAAAAGCGGAATGCAATTGTTTAACTTTAAATTATGATAACTACGCTGTGTTTAATAGAAAATTAGTACTATATTATACCTCTTTGGTTAAATCAACATATCAAAATATGTTACATAACAAAATGTTAATTTCTTAAACTCGTGAAATTCTGTTTTTTTTTTCGTTGTTTTTAAATCAATGTTTAGGGGAGATTAAAAACGAGAAAATAGTCATAATGCGTACGCACTCGCTGTCTACGCACAAACATACTTTATAGTGTACGCATTTGTAAGTTTTTTGACCCCTATGGACCCTCTTCCTATACTTGCCTGAGAACTTTATGGAAGACCCCAAAAAAACTCTTAAAACTTGCAGAAGTTTCTGATGATGAATAAAGAGGAAAGAAAAATCTAAAAAGGAAAAAGCTAAAGAGGAAGGAAAAATCCCCGAAGTGGATTTATCCAAAATATTTGTTAAAAATTTGACTTTGCATACATGATTAGCGGCCGTGGCGCAGTGGTTAGAGTTCTGGCTTAGAACCCAGAGGTCCAAAGATCGACGCCGGCTCTAGCCCAATAAACGACATTGGTAAGGAAGGAGGCGTGAATTTCAGTTAAATGCTCTCCCGCGGTGCTCCGTGATAAGACCGTAAGGACTTCAGGGAGCACCTAAATAACATTAAAAAAATTGATTGTACAGAGAGAAACATACGCCTTTATTAAGGACTTTGTAGTTGAATACAAATCTGACAATATGCAAAAAACTTATTGCTTGTAGCCAGGGACAATAGAAAGAACCTTAAAATGATCTTTTCAAGTCCCATTTATAAAATATACAATTTATTATTCTTGAAATACATATTTTTTGAGACACATTTTTGTATTTTTATAGGAAAATGTGTAAAATTTTGGTTTTAAACAAAATAATGGAGTTTGACATATTGCTGAAATTGTGGTCCGAAAAATGTTTTTTTATATATATTTGCAATCAGGGGACACTAAAGAGAGAATGGAGAAAAACTGTGTGCACATAGAAATTTTAAAAAAGTGTAAATTTGGGACACCCTTGTATGCAACCATCGTTTGAACGCAATCGTTTTTGTTTCGTAGCATATTGTTATGATTTATAATAATATAGTTGTTTACATAAATTCATTTAAATCTGTTATGGTGTGTACTTTATGGCATTATTGCCAAAGGTTTTATTAAAGTTGCTTTGATGGGACATCCTAGATTCGTTTCCCTTATCCCTCCAAAAGTGCTCTTGATGTTTAACTTTCTTGCAGAAAAGTTAAAGGTATACAGTAGAGCAGCAGCTGCTAATTTATGAGATGATTCTTTTATTTATTTTATTTTTTTTGCTTTTCTTTTTTTTATCCCGGATAACAGGTATCCTGGATATTACCTGTTTTGATTTACGTTTAAATGCTCGTCCTGAAAATTAATAACTGTCCTTGTAGCAGCAGTCTTCTACATTTCTCCCCAAAGCAGAAATGTATCTGGTTTTCGTTTTTTTGAAAAATCAAACCTCATTGTGAGTCATAGTATCTTTTGCTTACCCAAAAATAAGTTTCTTTAATTCGCTTTTTCTTCTCACCTTTAATTCTTTATCTCTTACATTTTGATTGTTTATTATTGTTGCGTCTTGACGGATCTCGTTAATAAAAATTCCGCAGCTCTTTAAATAACTGGTTTGTCAATAAAAATAAGATAAATGTTTGATTAACTGCAACTTTAATGTTTGAGTCGAAGCATTATTAAATTTTATAATCTCAAATTTAAAAAAATGGTCAAATAGTTAAAATGAATGGTTATTGTGGAAAAGGAGTTTTATATTTTTATAACCTGATACTGATAGTAAGTACTTTTTTTATGTGTTAAAAGCGACAATAACTATTGAACACCTTGTTATAATGTTAACATTTGTAACATTATAACAAGGTGTCCACTCGATGGAAAAACTGGAATAGGCTATTTTGGAAAAACATGCTGGAAAAACTGGAAGATGTAATTTTTGAGCATCATTGGCCTAATCATATACATATTTAAATTTAATACATATTTAAAAGCTATTTTGCTTTCAATGTTTTTATTACTTCTCAACAACCTCAACGTTTTTACAGAAAAATTGTTCGCTACTCAATGCAACTAAGGCCTGGTACACGTTTTTCCGAACAAAAATGTAAGTTTTTTTAATTACAATATATGTAAGTTTTTCATCAAAAAGTATGACATATTTGGTATGCATGGAAAGATTATTTTAACCACTATTATAATCTGGTAAAAGTAATGCAATTACAACAAATTGTCAAGCGTAGTTTCATTTAGAAAAGATGCAATTTTCAACATAAAGTACCTTGGAGCTTGGCTATAGATAAGTCTAAAGTTTGATTTTTTCATAAAAGTACACTTTGGTGTTTGTTTTAAATGAATGTAACTTCTAATCAGGTATTGTTTGGGAAAATTATTCATGAAGAACCATTTTTTTATGAAAATTGAAGTTACTATTTTCAATACCACACCTAAATGAGTATGTTTAACAATAATGTAATGTTAGATTTAGATAATCTATGGTAATGTTAATTTTTCTACCAAAGTCGTTTTTGCATAAATAGTATTAACTTTTAGCCTTATGTAAAAAACTGTTTTCGGTATTTATAATCATTTTTTGAAATACTTGGGACTTATTAGGCCATCTTGAAATAATAAATTGTTCCATTCAGAATGCGTAAACAATTAAATAACAGACGGTAAACTTTATAAATAAATTACTTTTAATACGAATTATTTGTTTGCAAAAATTAAATACCAAATGACTAAAAAGATTTTCGGTTTGCCACTAACAACCAATTGGCTTTGTTTTAAATTATTGGCTTTTTTTTTATGTTTTACGTTTACGTTTTTTTACGCTTTACGTTTTACAGTTTGTTTGTTCTATGCCCTAGTTGCATTGAGTATATATAGCATTTAAAAATAAAACTTGTGACTCTTGTCAACAATTAATGATCCTTATACAAAATGTTATAATAATAAAAACATGCAAAATGTGACTTTTTTCAATAATTAACAAAGCTAATTATTAACAAATTATTGACACACTTTAAATAGGCACATGTGTAAAAATGTTAAACTATTTTTATTATTGATTGTTATACATAGAGTTCCCAGACCTCCGGCTTTTACAGAGGATAACACAATAAAAAAATTTATTTTTACAGGTTTGGCGCTGTATTTTTCTCCGTAAAAGCTGGACGTCTGGCAACCCTTATTATACATCATTGGAAAGAGGCTAAAATCAGCATTAAAATAGTGAAAATTTCATAACAAAATAAAAATTCTACAAAAATATATTCTCATTTATGTAACAAAATTTGATTACAAAGATTGCTTAATAAAAAGCGACCAGTTTTAAAATGTCAGAACTGGTTAACGATTGTTTTGTTAACTAGATCTGGTTAACGATAGTTTTGGAACTTTGTTGCTAGAAGCGCAATATTTTGCTTTATTTACAATATTTCAACTTAGGTACATATTCTGCTACAAAAAATTATTGTCTTTTTTAATAAAATTTGGCATGCACATAGAAAATAAGTTTTTAAACTTTTCTTAATAGTTTCAAATATGTTTTCAACATTCTTTCAGTATAAATTTGATGTCTGAACTTTCAGTTAGAACAAACAGGTTGTAACTCTGTCTCACAATTTGTTGGATAGTTTTGATCAGCGCGGTCCATACTATTGTCAGCTTGGCCATTGTCCAGGGAATTTATTTGAGAAAATTGATCTTTGATTACAACATGTTTTAAGTTCGTTTCTTAAGAAAGAAACTGTTGTCAAAATAATGTTTTTTTCTAACGCAAATTATTTTAACTTTGTCAACTCTTATCGAAATATCTATAATTTGTTATCAAAAGATAGGTGTAAGAGTGGGCTGTATTTTTATAGCGGTGTCTAGCATTGCAGAGGGATAGAGTAGGCATAAACTATGACTTTTACCCCTAATTAATAAATTAAACAAAATATAATGTAAATTGTCATTTTTATGGAAGTTCTTATATTTTGCTCCCAGACCACCAGCAAATATGAGAGGTGTATCTTTGTGTTAGGGGTTGATTGTTTAAGATATACTATTATCAAAAATGATTCATTTTAAAAAAAATATTTTTATCCAAATAAAATGAGTAAATCTAGCATAAAAAATAAAATTTATACTTAACTACTTTACAACATAAACTATGGAGTATAATTTGGCTTTAAAAAAAAATTTAAATTAGATTTTCAACCAAGAAAAATTATATATAATAAACAGATATTTTACCATTTTACAAGATTCATCAGTTTATCCAATTATGGAAGTTAGTGTAAACAAAATTCACATTGTAATTAATGTATTGGCTTTGTAATTAGTGTATTGGCTTTTAGTAAATAATTAAATTTTTTAACAATAAACTAGGAATCACTAATATATGGTATACTAAAAATTTAGTCTGCAATTCACCGTATAGTATACAGTAAAATATACTGTGCATAGATTTTTTTTGGGGGCGAAACTGTAATACAAGTTTGTAAAAGAATTTTAGCAATTTATGTAAAACCAATGTGTTAGCTTTTAATTTGTTTTTGTTGGTGTGTTTTATTAAATTATTAACCATTGGTTACACATTCTCACTAGATAAATAAAAAAGTTGAAGCCTTTGGTCAAAATTAGCTATCACTTGATAATGTATTGTTATCTTACTACATTAATTTTAATTAAATACAAAATTTAAATAAAAACGCTTTAATCGTGATAAGTCATATAATAAATATGGTATAGCAATTTAATTCATTAAGATAATTTAATAATTCACACAAAAAAGTAAATGGGTATATATTAACTTTAAGTAAACCAAGTATACTATAAAGTATACAGAAAAGTTAGTATACCGTAAACTCTTACTGGCGATCCCTACAATAGATATCACATGAAGGTAAGCCAGGCTGTCTATCAAAAAGTTGTGAGAGTCACAACAGTTGCAAGTATCTTTTTGTAAGTCAAGTATCTTTTGTCAGGTCAGGTTATCCTGCTACTGGTAACATGTAACCCAGTACAATCTGCTTCATGTCCTGCTGCCTTTTAGGATACGCTTTTTTAGGCAAAGGCTAATCCGTCAAATCCGACATATCCGACTTAAAACACCCCCTGCCTTGAGGCTCTTGGTTGAGTAAAGGCTAGAGATGGGGATAAAAATATTCATCTTGGGTGGATCTTAAATGCATTCGGCTACTGTTTTGTAGAAGGCCTACTAGGCAAAGACTTAGGTGGTAAATAGATTCAATTTATTGACCAGCCTCGCACCCCTTCTTCATCTATTAGGCTGGCGTAGATGTATTTTTAATACAATGTTTCCAATTTAGGATGTTGAATGCTGGATCTTCTTGACTTGATGCATGGGTTTTGCTTGTGTCTCTGTTTTTATGACTAGGCAACTCATTTTATTATCTCCTAATGAAGGTAACTGCTCTAGAACTCAGTTTTAAGGTTCTGAGGCCATCTAGGAGTCAGGTTTCCCGAACTCTGTGGTAGCTCTCAGAGAGATTGATTCCATCAACAGCTGAATAATATCAAAGTATTAACAGTGCCATGTTGCGCATGGATGGTGTCCCTGTGCGTACTTTTGGTGTGCATTACCAAGGCCACATTGGAGCCCATTGTTATGGCTTAGGGTTTATTAATAGTAATGAGACAACTGCTTGGGCTATTAAGCAGTGTACTGAGTACCATCTATGCTTTGAGTCAAATTCTTTAACAAATTTAAAAATGAATGAAGTACCAAAAGCTATAAAACACAAAAAACCATCGTCATCACCAAGTTCTCTAAACGTATTATTCACTAATATTTGTGGTCTTCGAAGTAACTTTTCTTCTGTTGAGTCTTATCTCTTGCAAAGTTCACCAGACCTACTTGCTCTTTGTGAGACTAATTTGAGTTCAGCTGTCTCATCTTGTGATCTTTGTGTTAATGGTTATCTTCCTTTGATTTGTAAAGACTCCAATAGTCGTCATATGCTTGGCCTGGGCATTTACATTTGTAAGAATTCACCCATTTGCCGGGAAACTAGGTTTGAATCCACAGACTACTCGATGTGATGCAAAACCAGAATCTCACATATCCTTTAACAAATTTTCATATCTGATACTACTGTCAACTGTATTGTTTAGTGTATTCTTGTAATTTTTTTTTATAACCTTTACAGGTATGGAGTTGCTGATATTTTGAAAGTTTCATTATCAAAAATCAAATGCAAATTTTAATGATATTTTCTTTTTATCCATATCCAATTTAGCAATTTAAATTAAATCAGCGTAATCAAAAATTTTTTATAATAAAAAAGTTTAACAGTTTATCAAATATCTCAAATTAATACTTTCAGTTAATGAAAATAATTGTTAATACTTTTTTTTGACTGGAAAACAAAAAGTATTATAGTGTAAAAACGACCAGAGAAGTTAAAAAATATTTCCGATTGTTTAAATGAAAATAAGTAAGATTCAGAATATATAATACTGCGCTATCTTGCACAAAAACAAGAGACTGTATGCATAATGTTTTATATAATGTAAAACACTCATATGAAAATCATAAGATTCGTAAGTAAAGCTTTAATATTTGTTTTAATTTAAAAATGAAAGAATTATAAGTAAGATATATAAATCTAAAAATTATTAAGATATTGGTAAAAAAAAAGTTGCTCCTATGAAATAAAAATCTTTTATTATTTTTGATTTTTACAAAAATTTGTTGTAAAAGTTGTTTTGCTTTATGTTAAAAAAATACTACATCGTACTTTTTGAATTAAAGAAAAAAAAAGCAGCTT